TCCTGCAATATTCACACAGTATTGAATCTTCAAGGAAAATCATTTCTAAACGAAATATCTTCAAAAGGAGATCGTGCTTCACAGAATACATACACACGTAATCGAAACCCCTCCGTGAATCCTTTTTCGACTCTAATGTCGCATGGACCGCAAAATACGTTCCATTCGCATGTCAAAAGGCAAAGAATATCCATTCCCGTAAATTGACACGATTAGTTTATCGGTATCGCTTACTCACTATAAGGTCACCGGTATCCTCTGCAGCGCGACATAGTACAACTGGGAAAACTAAGTCTGGCGACTAATGCGGCAGCAGCCGAAGTTCAGTCATATAAGACTTTTCTTTGCGCCCAAAACGGAATGTATGATGTGGTTAATTAAACTCACCGGTATTAGGATCGAGGCGGCTCGGATCGTACGAATTTTATAGTCTCGCGTGTATTCGCCGACGTCGCAAAAGGTGCTCACGAGATTCGAGGGTTGCACGATCGGACTGGGACGCGCGCTTCCACGGTACTGACCCGACGACGTCTCGTAGTACTCCGCATCGCGATGCTTGAACGCAGAGCGCGTACTCGGAGAGGCCGACCTATCCTGGACTATCGGAGGGCACAGCTGGGTCCACGTTCCACCGTCGACTTCCAGGCGAATTCGTGGGCCACGCCAGACGTGCAAGATGGAAACTTTACGTTTTTTGCCACTTTGCACGTTGACGGGGACGGGTGAATTCGTTATCTGGATAAAGGGTTTCGAATAACGAATGAAAGATAAAAAATAAGGGTAGGGAATAGGTGTCTAAACCGATCCCTTTAAGGCGTAATTTATATAAAAAATACAAATGCTCAGTATTTAACAAAATGTAAAGTAGTTTTTGTAAGTTAGTCTATCTATCTTATCATTGGCATAAATAAAATTTAGCTACCTGATCAATTATATTTTTTATTCACGTTTCTTTGCAGGCATACTTAAGGATCATTTCGTAATGTATGTGTATAAAATGATCCCCGGGGATCATTTTATACCTACTGATAGTAAATACGATGAACATTAAAAAGCATTTCATTTATTACATTTTATTTAAATAAAAATAGCTTTGACGCGTTGTTTTTCTTTCATACTGACGGAGCATTGTTGTAACTAAAACGAAAAAAAAGATACCGTGCATATGAAAAACCAGTGAAAATAACAGGATAATCCAATTAAAAATCGTTTTTTAATTGTACAATAAGTAGAAACATTTTTTTAGAATGAAAATTAAGTGAACATTGTTGAAAAAGCAAATTGATCAGATCGTGTTGACAAGATGAAAACGGTAATATTTAAATAATAACTTGATTGAGGAAGATCTTATGGTTAAAAACTTTTTGTATTTTATGATTAAAGGCCATTCGTTCTTTTCAATTAGGAACCTTCCGTTTTTTACGATTAAAGAATTTTAGGTTTTTACGATGAAGACCTTTCGTTTTTTACGATTAAAGAATTGTCGGGGTATAATGCTGAGTACTTTCCCGATCCTCGAACAAAAGGACATTTTCACAAAAGGAAGCAGACTCTGGACGCGTGAACGAAATTTATCCAGAGAAGTCTGAAAAAAATTGTCAACCGATCAGAGAACAAAACGGTCCCGTGTTTGTTTAATTGGAGCTTTTGTTCCACCACAGCGTGAAAGATTTTTTGTGAAAAATAATTCGACCGCCACAGTAATTTCGAACAGTTTTTTGATTGCTTACGTCATTTTCGCTTCCGCTTGTCAACTAGGAACTGACAGTGAGTGTCGGAAAACCATTTTTCCTTGTCGTCCTGTCTCGCGTGTTTTAGCCAAAATTCGCTATTCTTTCTGATCAACTGCACGATGTTTCGTTCATACCAGAATTGAATCAAATCTTTAAAAAGATTTCCTCTCATTTCAATACAACATTCACATCTACAAACTATACATATAGTATTCCAGCCGAATCTCGTATTGTACGACACTCTAGTGTTTACATTCAGTCTATTTTAAAGAGACTCACTTACGTCATCGAACGATTGATTTTAGAACTTACAAAATTTTTTTAACCATTTTACGATGTAAAAATTATGAACTTCTCAATAAAAAAATATGATCGTGGTATCCGCCACTGATGTGTAAAATGCAGAATAACGTGTAAACATTTCAAACCAATTGGTAGAATAGATTTTTTTTACTTTCCCTGCGCCAATTATAAAAATATCGTTTTGGGAAAAACACGTTTAAAATTTAAAGCTCTAATTTTTCATACATATATTTATTTACAATCAATCGGCTATAAGAGCAAAAATAATCGGGATTAAGAAAATGTTTCAATACATTTTTGAATACATGAACTTTTTGATTACAAAACACTTCGATTTTTCCAAGGTTTCGTAGTAGAACGACCCCTCAACCGTCAAATTTGTCATTTTCGTAACATATAAATATTATTTGAAAGTATTTAGTTATATTCTCGTATTTTTCTCTCAGTATTTAACGTTCACTAGTGAAGGGAAATCTAATAGCAATATATGTATTACGCCAATTTTATATTAATACACATCAACTAGAAATTACTTATAAAAATGCAATCTAGGAATATCGTCATGTGGAACTTCGTTTAGATCATATATCAAACTGAGTTCCACAGATCGACGTGAAATATTCGCAGCGAAAAATTTGCACTTCGATGTGAACAAACACGCGAATTTCACTGTCGCTGCCAATATTTCGTTGCCGTTGTCCCTGTTCAATAATTTTCGTTGGTCCGTAGGTTCCTTTGTAATGCACAATTCAAGCGGAAAACACGATATAGCGGCGCAACGTGTCGAAATTTCAAGAAGACCAACAGATATATTGGATAGAATGGTGACGACGTGAAACGAATGACTGTCTTCGATATTTCGAAACTAATGCCTGCAAATTTCGCGCTGTCTGTACCACGGAGTAAAGCATACGAAGGTATTTATTGACCTATTATCTAATAGAAACAATAAGGGCGACCACTCGCGTGTCTATATCACTGTTTCATACACCGATTTACTCGTGCAACTTAGTATACTTTATATTATGTATATGAAACTTCTTACTTTTACATTATCGTTCCAAACTACCCTGCATATTACTTAAAATGTTTACCTTTATACAAGACCGAATTTTTCGTAACTTACCACTTACTTAATAGGTCATTAAAGGGGGAACATCTTTTCCGTATAGTCTACAAGAATAATAATATTAATGAGCGATCTGTCTACTCTTCTTAATTGATTCATAGGTAATTAATTACGTTTATTAATCACACAGAACGCAACTCTTAGATTTCATTTCATATACCTGACTATAATATGATTATAATATGAGTCACAATCATAGGTGCAACCATCCATTACGATATTACAATCGTATTTATCACTGTGCTATTGAAACAGTAATTTAATAGGAAACTTAAGTTTAACAAACAGATGTAGTTTATATTTGCTTGTGTAATCAAATTATTTATATCTAAATATTTAGATATTACACATTTATAAATTATTTACATATAAAATATTATTGGCAGAGATTATGTAGTTCATTTGTGATACAGTTAGAATGCTATTTTAAAACGCTTTAATCAATAATAAGATCGAACGCAGTGACACACAAAATCCAATGAAAAACAAGTGCCGGGAAACAGGGGCCACCGAAACCGATAAAATAACAATTGACAATGACAGTCTCAGTGGATCAGAACGCGTGACACTTCTAACGAACACGCAAATAAAAGTGAAAATCTATCTGTCTGTTCGTTATTTTTGCAGATTTTCAATTGACAAGGTTTTCAATATTTGTGGTAATTCGTTAATTATTATCGTTATTTTAATTATCATTAAATAGGCAACTCTCTATAGTATCTAATAAGCAAAAGTAGAAAATTTAGGTTCCGTTAGATTGGACGAATCTAAAACAGAACGAAATTAAGTTAATGATATGTTAAACGAAATTAGCATAGCATAACAAATAAAAAAGAATACACTACACTGAAGTACAACAAATGTTTCATGTCAAGTCTACTAACGAGATACTAAAAATAATAGTAGTTGTAGAGAAAAAAACAAAATTTTTGTCGAATCGTCCATTTATTGGCTCCGACATCACATGAAAACCGTTTTAATTGTAAAAAAACAAACCGTCGTCACGAAGAACCGTAAAATACCTACATCTTTTTTTCCTTCCTACCAGTTCAAACCCACGTACGTGGTATAAAATACGTACAGGTACCTCATGGGGAGTGTTATGGGCGAAAGTTAGGGGACCTGCCTGAATAAATTTGTTTTATTCGCAACTTTTATTCGAAGATTATTCGAATAAAATTTCATTCAAATAGCGCCCAAATACGTAGTCGATAATAGTACTGAATTACAAGTAGACATAGCAATAACTGAAGTAGACATAGTTATTGATTATTTTGTATTAAAGATTTTTATTATAATATTCTCTGTTTGAATATACAAGTTATAAAAACAAATGTAACGAACAAGGTGTATAAAATATACAAAAGATAAATATTTGTTAATGTTACAATGATTAAAAATTGTTATTAGGTAATAATACATTACTTGTTAATCGTTTCTGCAAAATCTGTTACAAAAATTATCATTTTGATTAGAACAATTCTTTGTACTTTAAAAACTTTCCTCACAGAGGTAAAGAAGCTATTCTTCAAAATACGTGTATATGCCTGTTTAATTATCACATTTGATTAAGATTTATCAAATGTAATACGTGGAGGTATTTTCTGGATAATACTATTTAATGGAGCGTATAATATTATATTAATTTCAGTTCTACGCGCGTAATTTGAGCAACTACGAAACGGATTTTCAATTTCGGAAACGTAATCACAATGAAAAATCCCGATAACCCGATATCACATAGTAATATATAATTATAGTTCAATCCACAGAAAAAATATCAACATGTAAAAATTGATTAATTTTTTAAATGTAATTTTGCAATTACTTATTACTTATTTTGGTCCATCACTGACTGCTTCATCATTGGGTGTATAATACATAGAATCCAAGTAGCAGTTCGTAAAATCGCTTATAATACTTCTATCGGGTATGGTTTGAGTCATTCCATACATTGCAAGCTGAAACATATTACTTTTGTATTACATTTCTAATAATAATACTAAATAATTTATTTACCTTCCCCTCAACTGGTACTTCTGGATTTTGTAGAATAAGACCCAATTCAGTTTTAACATCATTTAAAAACTGATCTGCCACGCCAGCTTGAGTGTGTACATAAGTGACACAGAGATGTATACCACTAGGGAACTGAAGTGTATTCAAATTCCAACCTTTTGCATTCAGGGCTTCTGATAATTTATAAATGTTGAAATCCTTTGATCCCAATGCAATAACTGAAGTAGCTGGGGTACCGAAAATAAAAATTCCGTCCAATGTTCTCAATCTATAATCAATGTTAAATATGTACAACAGAAAGTACAAAAGAAAACGAGAAAATACAGAATTTCGGATACTTACTTCCGTTCAATGTATTTAGTAGTTTCTATAATCTTCTTGGTTGCGTCTAAATATCCGTCATAACCGAAATACATCATAGTAGCCCAACATGATGCTATAATTCCACCAGCTCTAGACCCATTTATTGTTGGGGAGCCATAAATGCCACCAGGCCAATCAGTTGAGACAGTATATTGATGGTGTCTATACTTTTTATTCCTATAAAGAATAATGGAGGATCCTTTCGGAGCATATCCATACTAAAAGCAAAGTGCAATTACATATTTATATAGAAATTAATGAAGTTGAACATACAATTCTGTTATTTATTTACCTTATGTGTATCAGCTGATATACTGGTAACTCCAGGTAGTTTAAAATCAAATGGTGGTACTTCAAGTCCTGCATCTGACATAAAACAAATTAAAAATCCACCAAGACAAGCATCAACATGTACTGGAATATTATATTTTACTCCTAATTCAGAAATTGCTTCAATATTATCCATTGTTCCATATGGAAAGTTTGGAGTTGAGCCTATTAACTGTTATATGTACTATGTTAATATTGATGTTATTAATTCAGTCATAAAATTACATGAAAAAAGATTTTCTTACCATAATTGTATTTCTAGAGATAGCCCTTTCCATATCTTTAATGGAAACAGTATAACTATGTGGATTGACAGGTACAACACGTATTCTAATTTTTAAGTACTGAGCAGCTTTCTCAAAAGCAGAGTGTGCTGTTACAGGCATTACCATTTCTGGATATTTGATACCTTTTACATATCTTGCATAGTCTCTAAATGCTTTACAAGCTAATAAAATTGACTCTGTACCGCCAGTAGACATCTTAAAAAAACATGTATTATATTTCATACACGTTCATATTTTACCTTACTTTTCAAAACCAAAAAGAATTTACTGTGCCACAAGATTCTTGATCACCATGAAACAAATGGCAGGCTATCCGAACTACTTCTGCTTCCATCTTGCACACACCAGGAAAAACATCAGGATGTAAAGGATTTGTATATGATGCAATCCCATAAATGTTTCCCATTAATTCTAACAACTTAGTATCAATTCTATATACAGTCCCAGACACTCTACCACTTTCCCAATCATAATCACCTAAATGAAAATATATATGCACATAAATATTTGTGTACATTAAAACTAAACACTATTTATATTTATTTCTTTTACCTAACTGAACACAGTGCTTTACTTTTGTTAATATATCATCTGGCTCCAAACCATTTTTTGGTAGCCTTATAATGAACGGAATATCCTTCATTCTTTGCTTAGCTTCCTTTTCAAATGATGAATTTATATTATGTAATTCTTGATCAATTTTATCCTTGATAGCAGGTATATGATTTCTTAAACTAAAGATTTTCTTTTTTCCTCTTTCTATAAGACCTGAAAAATAAAAGAAACTAAGTTTTACTTATTGAAACTAAATCTGAGACATACAAGTATGATATTAAATGAAATCCATACTTTCTTCTTGGAATACAAAGTTCCACAACCAAATTGTTGTAAGAATAGTTGTACTTGTTATAGTTACTATTTGCCATGGTTCTTTTCCTTGGAAACTGTTGTTTACAAATTCCTTCAAAGTATTCATGTATGAAACAAGCATATTTATCTGAAAAATATGAATACACACTTAATCACTAAATGTAACAGGTATGTACATTAACATATGTTTGTCATTCCTTAAATGAATTTTCCTGGTGCAGAACTGATGTTTCCCATCTTTTTCTCCCTATCGTTATTTATTCTACCTCACTCGCTCGCACATGCTTTCTTTCAACAGACTTCATTTTCTTGCTTTCACTTTATCATTCTATTTATATCGTACTTTGTTCTTCTAATGTATTCATTCAAATATTGTAGTAGTCATCGTACTTCATGCTCTCACCTGCCACTGAGTACTAATTATAAAATCACAAACATGTATTAAAATAATGTTTGAATTATTGTATACGTACCAAAATGTGTAAGTCGTACTGCGCGTTAAAGTAGAAAGCAAGACTGCACACCGAAAGTTTCAAAGAGCAATGTAAAACGACGTTGGTTATTTAAGGATGTAGCAGATAACAACACCACTATCACTACACCCAATCGTCTTTCTGGAATGATAAACAGTACAACGGTTCAACGTGTTGGTACTGTACATTTACGCTCATTTACGCTACATGTTTATATAGATGATTTCTGTGTGATCACAATACTAACAAGACAGTAATGCCAGAATCGTGGAACTTGGTTCCACCACCACGACGCCCCGGCGTCCCCCACTTTATTTCACAGTTTTTACCACACAAGCATACTTTGTTTCTATTTGTGTGAGCTGGCTGTTCGAGTGTTTCCTCCGACTACCTGTGTCACCTGGCAAAACGTAAAGAATGAGGAAACTTTGAAGACCCTGTTCGAGAATCTCACTCGGCCAAAAATTCACGTTTCCGACGCGATGCCCGGCAACCTAAACGTGTAAGCAACAGTCGGGGAGACCCCGTTCATATCCCACTGTGACGACTTTACTTTTTATGTTTAATGATTTTATAATTTCACTTTGTAAACCGTTTTTGCACTAAAAAGATCTTCGAAGGTTTGACAATCCAGGCCTCAAAAATCTTAAACGGGCTTTCTTCTATCCGTTCATATAAATACCTGGAGCTGGGCAATTAAATCTTAAAATTACGTATTTTGGTAAACATTTCAGATCTCCATCGTGTGTTCAAATATAGCGTTATCTGCAGAATTGTAGCTATCTAATCTGTTAAATAATGTCACCTTATCTACTCGTAGCTAACCGAATTTTATAAAACCGAACATTACACAAAACTGACGATTAATGGATATTTAAGTATGTATGTCCTAACTCTTCTTAATTATCAAATCTTAAACTATGTTCCTGGAGCTTTGAATCCCGTTGATTGGCCATCAGGCTGATCCGGGGATATCGGACCATCTCCCCTGAGGCGGCCATCGTGTTGGCGGGGGTGATCCCATTTGAGATCCAGGTGGAGGTCGATGCCGACGTATATCGGCAGCGACAAGCCCTCCGCGTCTCAGGGCCCCCCTAACCAACCCTCGAGGTGACCAACTATGCTACAAGACTTGCATCAAACTTGTAACCACAACTTGACATCAAGCATTGCACTAAATTTGACATTGCGAGTTTCGCTGACATGGAGGTTACTATCTATGTCTAAGAGTAATAACATTATCATTAAGAAAAAAATGAAACAGTTTTGACTTCAATATAATGCTTATATTAAAAATACATTATGTAACATGGATTTAGTGATCCCAACACAACAAATAAGATATTGAACCTTATGGTTTATAATTTAGTAATAATGAAGCTAATCGATCTAAGCTAAAATATCCAACTTTGTTATTAATATTCTGTGGTTCCCACTATTATCAACATTGATAGTTATTCAGCTAGAGTGTGTTTACAAAGAATCTCATATTTACAATCGTATGTTTACATATAAAGAACATTCCATTGTTCCTTTTATAGTATCAGCACATTTATACAATACATGTCGTTTATAGGACTATTGTCGAAGGTATTGAGTTAATTAATAGACTACTTTGTTACTTCAGAAGTCATGGTCATAAATAAATTATGTATATCAACTGTTTTCCAGTTAATGTCTGCAACGATTAAATTTTCACTATAATATACATACGTCCGATATTTTATAAATAATGGTTGATTATGTGCAGGAGATCGAGAGCTTCATTTACTTTCTTTTTTATGTACCAATTCTTATTCTAACGTAAATCTACATTCGATCGTAATTACATTTTTGCATTTTTTTTATTAATAATCTTACAGCAGTGATTTTGTTACCTTACAGAGCAATTATATACATTAATTCACGTTATAAATATAAGTTATAATACAATTATTCCTATATGTCCAGTTATGTAGTAAATAATATTTTGAGCAGCATTTGTATTCAACAAGAATAATATAGATTCTGGAAGATGGTATTCCACTTTCATTGGAAACCTTTCAAGTAAAAATAATACAATTAATTTTCTAATAATATAAACATCTAATGATTCCAATAGTATATAATATGCCAATTTGTAATAATTCCTATAACATTTGACAAGCCAAAATTAATTTGCATGATGCAAGTGGAAGAATCAAGACCATACAGTCTTCTTTGGTAGATATTCTTCGCACATTTTAAAGAAAATATTAAATTATGCTGTCAATTAGTACTGGTACCCTTGCGATTTTTCTGTAAATGTTTAATATGTTGGCACTGCTGTTACATGCTACTTGCTTGTAATATGAAATTCAATAACAATCAAAGAGCAACAAGCAAACAGCCGTATTTAATAACAAGCAAAATTATTATTTAAGATGTCATGTTATACCAATTTTTTTTTCACATTCAACTATATAATTTCTAATACAATTAAGGTAATCGATTGTAAAACCAAAATGTTAGACAATTTTTTATCTATTTACTGGGTCATGCAAACTATTGGCATCAAACAAATAAATGTCGAGACCATGAGCCAATGCAATACTATAAAAATTTGTAATAAAACAATCAGGAAGAGTTACCAATCCTAATACAGTACAACTACTCCTACACATTATTTTATTTACACTTACGATTGATAATATTGATAAAAATCAGGTAATATGTGTGCTCTCGAGCGAAATAAAATTACCGCTCGTTTTTTTTTACATATTTTTTAATATGGTGCGTCTCTCTTTTGCAAAATATACCTAGGCACTTGGTGATCAATCTCTCTATAATTGCGCTAAAACTTGAACGTATATCGCCAACGAGAAAACACCCGTAACAAAAATGATGTAATCAATTTCGAATAGCATCAATGATAACGTTACACTTAATACTGCCATACCAACAGTTGGTTATCATTGAACTCTGTGGTTCTCTTCGTATTCGCGATGAAATTTTATAAAAATAATTTTCTGTTTTCTTCCATCTATTTCCACGAAATACTTCCAACAATCCCCTAATAATATTCATAACAATAATCATTTTAAACTTGCATGTAACAACAAACAAGTTCAAATACAACTTTAAGTACCTTTAACAATAATCGATAGAACACATTTGTCACGAGTTTCGTACATATACCTGGTGTTATAAAAAAAAAACAATACCACGATCGTTTCTACATTCGACGTACTCATCCACTCGTGTGACTTGTCGTATGTTAGGTACGCTGCATTTTGTTCGACGAAATTTCCAGTAGGCATTGCTTGGGCACAACACCAACATTAATTTTTCACAACTACGCTATTCGTTTCTCTTTCATACACAGACCGTGAGTTCTTATGCGCTGCTACTTCATACGATTGAGTACTAAATCGCAGACGACCTGCAAACCTTTTTGGTACGGACTTTCCGCTAAGGATTGTGCGAGTTTCACAGCTTCCAGGCAGTGCTTCCGGGCCAGAAATCTCGTCTGATCGAGACCCTGTGATTTGTGTACTAATTCGAAAGCTTTCTCAACGTCTCCTGGCTCTTGAAACCGGCGCATAATCATGGCATTTAATTCTGGATACTGTAACAAACAGAAAAAAGGTCTTGGTAGAAATATTGAAAAATATATTTAGCGAAAAAGAGAAAGGTACTAATATTTCTAACAGAAGTCAAGTATTGATAGTGTCAGCAATAAATGAACTATTCCACGTGTTTGTAAACATACTAATGATTCATTATACATAGTTAGAAGGCACTTAATTATTTCCATTTTAACAGTTTTTAAAAATTCATCTCCAAGTTTCTCTATTTACAAGGACCATTAATCTTTTTTTGACTTTAGTAGTATCAAAGAATTGTCTTATTTTATATGGTATTTTATAATTTGTTTTTAGTTTTGTATTAAGAAAATTTCAAGAAATAGCTTTTTTTAGCTACAAAGTAGACTCTTGCCCAAAATGAAAATTTTGATTGTATAATCATAAATTTTTCTTTCTAAATACTTCTCTTGTTGCACTATTTAAGTATTTAACATTCTCTGCATAGAATTTTCCTTAAACTACTGAACCGTACACATGCTCGAACTTTCTTCTAATTAGACTGTTTAACGTCGCATTAAATACTGAATATGGTTCTTAGTACCTTTTTTTAGAATTTGCAAAAGCAGGATTAGCTGAATACTTTTGGTTTAGTAGTTTATCATTTGGGTGAAAATTTGAAATAGTATCTTGACATTCACCGAAACTTCATCTGCGTTTTCTGCTACTAATATCTAAAAGTATTTATTTATTAATTTGAACCGATCCTTACCCGTTCACACGCGAAAAGTACTGGAGCAGTCGCAAGTCCCAGTTTAAGGTCGGCCGCGGTGGGTTTGCCCATTGCCTCTAAAGACGACACGAAATCCAAGAGATCGTCCACTAACTGAAACGCCAGACCTATATTTCTACCATACTGGAAAGCTAGCTCTGCCAGTTGATCATCGGCACCTCCTAGCATAGCTACCTACAACAAAGAATTTTACAAAGATTAAATTTTTTATTATTTATTAATAGGCTGCGGATTGTATGCATTTATAGTCTGTAGGGTTCTACGAAATACAATAGTAGACAAAAGTTTCAGCAGATACAACGAGTTTTCTATTTTATTCTTAAACCATTCAGATATAGTAGACTCTAACTATATTGCCACTAAACGTAGTGCCACGAGGTTATGACGATGGAACTTAGCATGGAGAGGGCTCTTAACTCATAGCCATTGTACTCCCCTACAGCGCCGACCATGGCAATATAGTTAGAGTCCACTGTACTTAAAAGAGGAAAGAAATTCCTACTTTTGTTTTTGTCTTTATACACAATTGTCTAAAATGCATTAAATTGAAACTTGATTTTCTCAACTAATTAGTTCAATATAGAATGAACACAAGGTGTATGAGTTACCAGTAAGATTATTAATTAATAATAGAATATTCTTAAAAGTTTCTCTCTAGTTTATTACTCCGAAATTATAACCAGTTCGATTTACTGTTTATATCATAAATACAAATTTTAACAACTTTATTTGAAACCTGATGGAATTCTAAACAGAGTAAACAAATTTCTGTTTAATTCCGTTTATATTTGCACAAATATCCGTTGTCTAAACGCGATAGACTTACTGTCAGATGAAATTGTTTGTAATTGTTATTAACTTACGGCTTTCAATGAATTGGCGATTAAGCTGGCCGTTTTGCGGTACGTTTTCGTTAGGTAATGCGCGAATCTTTCGTTCTCCGTCTCCTTGGATCCGAGCTGCATAAATTCACCCTGCACCAGGTCCGTCACGACCTGGAAAGCACCTGGACTCGTCAATACTTATCATCAGGAGTATAATTCTAAGGATCCTAGAGATCGTGAATACTTCGGTACACTTACATACTTTCGTTGGATTAACAACAATGACACAAAGCAATACAACATACGTACATAACGCAAGTAGTACAGGAATAACAAAATCAAGTAAATAATTTCATACAAAATTAAAAAAAAAACATTCTTCATTACGTTACATAAATAAAAAATTGTTTAAGTGGAAAGCTTTTTAGTTGGACATTAGATCATGAATAGTCGAGAATTTCACATAAATAGTTTACTTATATACATACAATATATAATAATAAGAAGAAAGTGGTGATATATAAATCAGAACAAGACTACAGCAAAACTAAAAAGAAGAAGTAAATTTACACAGAATGATCCAGTTGACGGATAGATGAGATTCTAGCGCGAAAAAAAGTGATTTACCCAATTTTACAATCACAAATCATGCAACGTTGATTTAATATTTATAAAGCAATAAAGATAGAAAGTTTTATAAGCAGAGAGGATAACCAAGATTACTCCATCTGTGAAATGTTAAACGCCATTTTCTCCAGGAAGGCAGTTTCACACGAAAAATTCCATTCGGTACTTTCGATTTTCTTTCGCAAGAAATTATGTTCATTCAAACGTTCTAGAGTAATCTGAATTCTATATTTAGGTGATTCGGCTTAGCAAGAAGAACGAACTACATTATTCCTATCGTTCAAGCTCATCTGGCGCTCAACTACGAGAATTTAGAAACATATTTCACGGAATTTTACCTGACTAAGAGTGAGGGTGACATCGTCATTTCGAAGCTGAGATATCATAATCGACACTATTGCCAGAATATAATCCCCCGCCATTGTCACCTGAAAATAAGAAGAGCGATCGTTAGAGCACGATAATCGGGAGACTATATACCCCCAATTCGGTTTTTACACAAATTAGTTCATTCTCTTTTTACACGATCTGTTTTGATGTAACACGATCGATCCAAATTCTAAGAAACAATTTTTCATGAAAGATCTTGAACTGGTCAGTGAAATGGGTAATTCTTTTGTCAGACATGATTCTAATGAGGAACGAGCTGGAAAGTTTGAACGTGCTTTGAAAAGTCATTAATGGACTCTTAGAGAGAATTATACAATAACTTAGTTAAAACATAAACACAAGGATAAATAACTGAATTCGTTCTTAAAACCACTGAAACATTGGCACCATAGGAAACTAATGCTAATTTTTATACACATTCTTCCAGAAACGTATGTATCGTGTAAAAACAGAATTGAGTGTACATTGAAACTTGAGACCGAGCATCATTGATTATTTCACAGCGAAGGATGATATTCAGATACGAAAGATGATAAAGTGACTACACGATTATGGTATCTTAGCGCGCGTTACCTTTCACCATGCATCTTTCGAAACGGAACCGAAGAACATGGGGCAACGAACGAGCGAGCGTTCTTTCGTTCGGCCTTTTTCTCTAAGTACGAAGATTCTTGCGTATCCAACCGCAGTTACACGCGTTAATTAACTTATTATGATTAAGATCGACGCCATTCGATTTTATTCTGAGAAGCTGGTGTTTCTCTGGTGTCGAAGCTAGGCTAGCAGAGAAGACCACTTTCTTTCGTTTCACAGGTACGGGAAGGTAATTCGGTCCACGATTACGGTAAAAGTGCATACAGAAAGCGTAACATGGTGGAACACGGCAAAAAACTTCTCATAGTTGTAGAAATTACTTGGACTACTTCTTTACGACGATTAATTGGTATCCAGACTAATGGCAGGACATTTCATTTCGAAATACTACACTGCTGAAAACAATTACAGGATCATGTATTGTGGTCGGTCTGCTGGAAAATACGATGTATAATCTCCGAAAGTTTTTGGCAGCATTTTAACCCTCCGAGCACAGTCCCTGGGTCATGCAAGAATTTCAATAATATTTCAGTATTATCTAATAAAATATCGGTTTCGTAACTTCAACGAAGATTTCTACAAATCCGGGACTTCTAACATCACCGACGCGGTTTGTTAGAAAGCAGAGATTCCGAGTCGCCCATCGACCACTATTTTTCCCATTCATTGTAAAGTTAAAGCAGGTTCGTGCGACTGACAATGCAAATGTTACCATTTGTAACTTCATTATGACAAGTACGCCTCCGTGTATACGCAATACTGTTAGAAAGTCGCCGGAATGCAAATAAGGGTTGGACCGACGTGTACGCGAACAAATAACGAGCGCCGGCGCAGTAAGGGTGAATAGATTATTAAACTTGTCGTAAGATTGTAGTATGTGTGCATGCGGTTTCGTCTGGTGTTAAAAACCGACGAAGGAAAGTGTCGACGAGCCGCAACACATTGTAACCACATTTCGCTTAATGGCTTTTAACATCGCCTAGGCTACCGTCTTGCGGCCGCCATTTCCAAGTGTCACTGAATCGCATATTCCGAAAGCGTTGCCTGACGCCTCTGAACCGTTCTTCTAATACCTAATCAACAGCAGCAACCGTGAGGACTGCAAAGTCTCCCCTTCTTCTTCTGCGTGTAATGAGCAATTCATTTTCTACTTCTCCCGTGTATTTTACTTTGCGGCATCGTAGACATTGTATTCCATTGTTTCTTGTCGTTAGGAACCTGGTGGTATATGACTCGATATGCATTCAGAATGATTCATCTTTTTCTGGAAGCATATTTTTTCATCGAAAGTGGAAGTTCTTTCTTATTCAACTGGATCCAGATCGCTTCATCTGACCGATGTACAGTGGTCCGTTTTCCCGAAAAGCTGACAAAATTTTAAAGTTCAGACGTTATCCCAACCACTGCAGGGGAAGAAGGCCGTGGAACCTGTCAAGCGTATACTTTGTTGCCCTTCTGTTTTTGTAACCGAGACTCGGGCTTCGAGTAAAAAACGAATTTACGAAGGTCTAAAGCATTTCTTCCTAGAAGATTATTGTTTCGGCGCGGACCCGAGTTCGAGACAATAATCGAGAGGAGTCTGTAGTTCAAAAAATTTATTTCTACTACTTCACTAGGAAGTTTCTCAGCCAGAAACAATTCTGGCACCTTTCACTATTCCAATTTTTTGTTTGTCACGGAAAAAGTGAAAAGAAGTTTTTACGAGTGAAATTCACCGCGCAAGGCCGTACACGGTTAATTATCCGAAAGATTTGTCGTTTTCGTTACTAACTTGAACAAACAGGTGGACGTTCGAAAGGCCCGGGAGGGGAGGGAAGGTCGTTCTATTTGTCTTTCGCGACAATGGTTCGAAACGAGGCTGTCTCGTAATTTCGAAGCTTCACGTCTGGCCGATTCGTTTTCACGCGCGTTAAAAGCGCGACACAACACACACGCTGCCGGGTTTCCTCACGGAAATGTCGTTTTCGCGTTGAATACGATGCATTGCCGAACCTTTCGTGCCCACGTTGTGAAACGTTTTATTTCGTAAAGTCTGCGTGAATCAGCCTGGCCAGCAGCAGGGTGCAGCCTCGTCTGGGGAAAATCCTGATCATGGTCGATCAGAGATAGTGATTACTAAACTCCTGTAGAAGCCTTAATAGGGCTATACAAATTTCATAGTCCATAGTCTATATTTTGTCTGAATAAGTATTTTATGGACAACAGTTACGGAATTCCGTTTGTATTTCAGAAGTTCAAAATGTGTGAAACATCGTAAAAGATTTTCCTAGTAGAAAATCATTTGTAAAAAACTTCGAATCCGCGTAACGAACCGTAGATGATTTCACTTGCACCTTAATAGGCACTTCCAACGATTTCTCGAACACAATTTGTTATTTTCATTTCTCAATTATTTTCGTAGTTCCTCAATACCATAAATTAGTCTGAAAAATAGATTACGAAAATAATATATGACAATTTTTCACTGATACTTCTGGTTACATGTAAATGGAGCAACGGCCTGAATGGACGATTGTTCCGACGAAGAGGCATATTTCGCATTATATCTTGCCTCGTTCACGGCCTTGTTGTTTGCATGTAACCCGACGATAACTATTATATATACATAAGCCAACGTTCTTTCAATTAGTGTCTCGTTAATACGGCAGTTGTTACACAATTCGTTAGCTGTCTCCGATCTCCGATGTGAGACTTTCGTTATTTGACGGCTTTCCATTTCTTTGTAACCCGCTAATTCGTTCCTCAAGGCCGTCATACTTTCGGGGCCCACCTGTATAAATCGCGCGTGCTGAACCCGAGGCGTCTCGAGTTCACATCGACGATTTTGTCTGTGGTGGACCAGTTAATTTCATTAACAGCTATTAAGCTAAAGCAAAACATTGCACTTTACTTACAAAAGTCTATTTTTAAGCATATTATACTTCAAATACCTAAAACACACTACTCTCTAACTATTGGGTTTCTCCGAAATTTCTATTTTCCGTGTATCTTACAGGCTTTAGACATTTTTGACATTTATTTGGACCGCAATAATGAATTATTTTTACTGTGTATAGTAATGATTATTTAATTATTAAAAATTAATTTTTAACGATATTTCATCTTTATGGAAATTTCTTAGTGCCCCCTGGACAGAAGTCCTCCAGTTCGTCATCAGAAATGTCGGACAAATTGAATTCGACTCCCTCTAAATATCCCCCTGCCCCCCGGTCACATTGCAACTAAAAATTGCCCAATTTCGCGTTTTACAGTTCAAACATGCCCGGGGGGAAGCAATAACAGTCAGTCGGACACGGTTTCGAAACAGACGATCGTTACGTGATTCGGTTCGCGGCTCCGGGCCCGAAAATAATATTACTGGACTGGTCTAATTGGTAGAATCATCGACTTTCGAGGTGATTCCGTGACTGGCTCCTCGTTCTAACGCGCCGTTGATCGTGCAATTCAAGAGCGCAGAACGATTCCACTTTTCGAAATCTCGCCAACCGTGGCATCGAGCACACACGGCGGACCAAACGAAGGTCCCGTTTCCGGTTCCAGTCCAAGAAAGCGTGCACTGTCAGCCCGGCACAGGAGCTGTGAATCGCATTGGCCTCCTTCCTCATTTCAGAGAGAGAGAGTTTCAGGTCTTCATCGATCGAGGCGACGAAAGGGGGGCCCCTCTGTGAATGTATCGAAATTCACGATGCATCGTGTGAAATTCTGGATTCGGACGATGCTCGGTAAACGAATGAGAATTGGTGGCCCCACTCCACCTACACGCCAGTTTTGAAAATGTGGTTTCGAGCAAAACGTGCTTAAAGTTACGTCGCTTGCCGTCTCGAACTATGGCGGGAAACACTAAACAGGCTGTAACATCTTTATTTTTTGAAATTGAACCTTCAAATTTTGTTAGCATATTTTTGAAATTTGGTGCCTTTGATTAATGTAAAAAATTTGGATTTCTTGAACCTGTTACACGAGAATCCTCCTTTAACTCTTTTGAAATCAAAATTTAATGACGACTCACGGCGAGGAAGCTTTCAACTTTCACCTACAGGCTGTGGATGTGTATGAAAATTCACGTGTTCGTTGATCATTTGGACAAATTATTCGGTTGACAGATTAATATGACAAATGCTGATCAAGGGAGTATCGATTCAGTCTCGCCTTGGCAAATATGGTCCGCGTTTAGGCGACTCTAGACAATTTTTTCGTCGATCCTTCAAGGCATACTACTTCCGTGGACCGCCTTCGTCATCGATGGTACATAATCGTTCGTGAATCAGCCAAATTTGGAAATTCATTGAACTCGAATGGGCGTGCAGACTTTGACCCGAACCGAACGGTGGTTCTTACCTTCTTTTGGCTCCAAACAACGTTCACCGAAGGTTTGCCGCGGCGGAAGTCTGGCTGGTCGATTACGTCGTCGTGTATTAAAGAGGCGTTGTGGATCATCTCGGAGATCATCGCGACCTGCCGCTGCGATGCCAAGAGATCGCTGGAACGGAACGATTTTGCGTCGATTAATCGATTGTTCCTGGTCTGCGTGCGTTCTAATAGACACGATTTCATTCTATGAGCTTACAGGTGAATGATTGACATGATTTGATAGGCGTGGGTAGTCATTAATGCGAGGTGAGAAGAGAATGGTAATAAATATTAGGTAGTTGCATAATTAATGTCGGTGTTGAAATCCAGAGTTTGAACGATTATGACTCATCTTGAACGGAAAAACTTGTAATCGAAGAAAGATCCATTTGAGTAGATAGATTTTTACCAAAGAGTTACAAGCTTCTTGATCCCATGATTAATGATTCTTAGGTGGACACAGCGTGTTAGTAAATGAAATTTATTATGCAACAACTTAATGTCACGTAGAATTGTCGATATTCGAATAGTTGACAGTTAACAGTAAATTTATGTAAGTAAGCTTAATGTAATCTAATTTTAGTATAATGATTTATATTAGTATACTTAATATAATTTTATTATCTATTGCGCCAGGTAAAAGTTACTTATTGGGTTTATTAAATTCTTTCTTTTTATTCGTTTAACTATTTTACGAAAACAATATGGTATCGAAGCAAGAATTGCGGATACTCTTTCCACATGAATTTAAGTTAGCTGAAGGAAATTACGAAGTCTGGCTAGATTCACTACGTTCAACAGATAATCATCTTTTCCGGCATTTAGAGCTTATTCTACGAAATTATTTTCTAACCATATGGTGGTAATTGCCTTATTTGAAACATTTAGCACTTATGTTAGTTATCAGCATTTCGATGTATCTGTGCAATTAATCAGAATTGTAACGGTATAGAGATGAATGGAAATCATTTCTTTGCTACCCATGGAATTATAAAGGTGAGAGAAGCTGTTGTAATGAAATGTACAGAACCAGAATAGTTGTACCGCAAAAATATCATTCACCATGGCAACTTTTAACCATGTGTGACATAGTATATTAAAAGAAATCGGATAAAATTGATCTTCTTCGATTACAACTTATTATCTCGTTTACAACGTGTTTCACGCGCTGAGATGTTTAACGATCTTATGAAAAAACATCTAAGAATATTTTTATAAAAAAGAAAGCAGCTTTAAAGTGATCATATAAAGGTCTTTACCGAGGAAAATGCGAAAAACTGTTTAAATTAAATAGTAAATAATTACGATTACCATTCTTCATAGAACTTGATAATAATGAATGTTCAAATATTGATATTATTCCAACAATTTACATAAATTTATGACACGATCCAATAGAAAAAGAAACAACAATTATAAGTCGAGGTTCAATTTGATCTAACTGAGATCGTTAATGAAGCATTATATCGATCATACGGAGATATTGATCGGGCTTAAGTCATGGCTGTAGACATTGAATGAGGCTCGTTAATCTTGAATGAATATTCTTTCTTCGAGTATTTACTCTTCGCGACGCTATGACGTTTAGCTAAGCAAAGATTGAAACGACGATCGAGGAATTTGGCACCTTGCGTAATCGTCGGGTGAAAATTCGACGACTTCATCGCGGATTATCTTCGGCGGGCTACGAAACGCGGTGTCGTAGTTACTACTATTTACAATTCGTCGAGCATATACGATAACGTACTCTACACTAGTTCTCATTCACGGAACATCTCATTCATATTCATCGGCGTCGATCTACCAGCGACGACAGGTAATCGCTTTCAAAGCGATTTATGAATTTGAAACGGACCGTACCGATTAGTCGCATTCTTTCGGTGCTTTCTAAACGTCGTGATGCCATGTGGTTTTATTAAGAGGCCTTCTCTTTTGGTAGACTATACATCTTATTATTATGGTTTAATACTTCCTTCACAATACATTCCCAAAAATTCGTTCATTTTTAGCTGTTTACACCAGGCTCCCCCTTTAAGTCAATCCAACTGTCAACGCCGCGAACGAGGATCGATGGAAAATGGCCCCCGTTAATCGTCGCGATACGTTAAAAGTTTGTCGACGGCGAACTTGAAAAAATCCGCACAGACGTGCCTCTCACAACTCACTTTCTTTCCTTGTGGTAATTGATAGCCCGCGCCATGAGAGTCGTTACCATCGGCCGCAACGCCTTTCCCTTACCGTCGAAGTAGTACGTCGCTATGGTTTGCAGCTCCTTCTGCGTTGTGTTCCTAATGAGTACCTGAAACAATGGCAATCGTAACCTTGACTTCGAGCGGTGAAACGGAATTCTCATTGTTGCGACGAAAACGACGACACGCTTGGCCACCGTCTTCCGCCGAAAATATTAGCCGATTTCGGTTCGCAATTATGGTGTAATCGGTCGAACGAATCTTACGCGTTCGCTTTTATCAAACGAGGATTGTTTTACGTTTAGTTTTGTATTGTTAGTGTAATGAGAATTCTGTCGTGTATGTGGTGTTGAAAAGGTTTAATAAAGTGACTTATGTAATTATAAAAAATACAGTTAAAATTCAAGAGCACGTTCGTTCGAAGTACCGTTCAGCTAAGCTACGTACGCACGGATTAGTACAGCCGATATATATATATATATTATTTTAATTCAATGCAGGCGTTACATATATTATTCTAAACCAATTTACCACACGTTCGCAGCACGCGCATAGACAATGGATGTCCATAAGACGATGATGATTCGGATACGTGACAAGTGCGCGCGCGCTGTCGCCGATTGCAAGCATGATAGAGGAAGGAGAAGAACCGTTTTGAATTCCAGCCGCGACCTGGGCTGAAAGTCCGTCCTGGAATTTGGCCAAAGTCGAAAGGAACGTTCGTTAGCTGCTCGGTTCGCAAGCTTACGTCAGAGAACGCTTTCCGTACCATTGTCTCCGGCCACGTGATCGGAAGCTACCAGCCCAATGCACTTGGGACGACTTAATTGAGTGTATTGCTAACTGTAAACCTGCAAACGCTGCCTCACCGAAAGTAATTAGAAAATCAGCTGCTTAATGGGGAAAGCGGCACTCAAGGAAAAATCGTAGTTCGATCGAAACAACACTGTTTTGATTCATACATTTATGACGAGTATATAAATATTCGATACTGTATAAGTATTCTCTTTCTTTATAAATGCAAGAGGAATAAATATGATTAAATCTACGGTCCCTGTTCTTTAATAAATATTGTACAAAAAGGAAAACAAAATTCTGAAACCACAGAATGAGTCACGAGTTTTCCGGTTCTTAAGAAAGGTGCGTGGATTCTCTACTTCCAACGCATCAAAAGAATGTAATATTTCGATCCGCTCTACTTTCCTTCGGCTAGTAAAAATAAAAATTAAAAAAGTGGTAGATGAATCTCGCCAGCGAAGGAAACCTACCTTATAATCTCAATTCACGTCATAAATAGCAAATCTCAATGAAAAGAAAATACAGATCGTGTGTAGTATTTATCGACAATTTTCTTTTCATCTCTCAACGAGATCGTGGAATAGTGAAAAAAAAATTGTAATTGCCACCGCAAATACACACTTAAGAGTATAGATAACTTGCAATTAGTCAATCAATATCGATATTTTACAGATGCTTAACAATCCCTTGTCTACACGAGATGCTGAAAATGTTTGCCATTACATTTTTCAGGGAAATAAATAACCGGGTACAATTTTTTCAATGTACCACCGTTTATCACGACACAGCGACTGCAATAGGGTTACCCTAATTTTATCCTACATGTTCCTCTAATTGTTTCCAGCAGGATATTAATATTCATATTAGTTCAGAATGTATTACTCGATTCTTAAATATGGTGGAGTCTTCATAGGAATAATAGCATTAATTGTACCAGATGAAACTGGAGGAATGGGGTAACAAAGGACCAAGGTATATAGGGATTAGGTGAAGGTACTATGGCTTTGAAAGGATAAGAGTACCATGGCTTTGGTAGGATAAAGATACCATAGCTTTGGCAGGATAAAGGTATCATGGCTTTGGAAGGATAAATGTACCATGGCTTTTGGAGGGTAAACGTAACATGCCTATCTGACATTCTAGGAATAAATACTAGATTTGACAACAAATCGAGGATTGCCTAAACGATCACGATGCTCCGATGATCAATAAGTGAACGATCTCGATCTAATTAACCGAGGCGTCGCGCAGATGATCGTGTCAAGCGGCCTGGGTGACACGTAATTCCATGACGATCGGGTGGTTATCGCGTTCCATGGTGCAACGAGAAAAAGTGCTTTCTAAACGCGTTTGCACGCGCGTACGCAAACACAATTGCAGGTGTTCGCGACCGTGAGTAAAAGTTCTATTCTCGACCATATATGCAGACCGTGAAGTCGCCGGCTGCTTTCGCTAGCACGCGAAAACACCTTAAGCAGATGCGCCCCTTGTCGTGAAAACGACATCCCTCTCGCGATGAATATTTATAATTACGCCGTCGCAGACGATCGTCCTTCCGTCGTCGAGTGGAAAGGAGAGAAAGAAGAAAGAAAGAAAAGAAGAATACGAACAAAGTGAAGGAATTCTGGCGACCAAGTGTCTCGCGGCGTCGCGTAATAACGAAAGCCGCCCGATGACGCAAACCGAGGACGATTTCGTTCGCGGCGCGTTGACGCGCGGGAACGCCTCGCGACACGCGTATTTCTCTTCCGGATACACTGGTCCACCTCTTCCTGTTGAGACAATCTGACGGATCGCCGCTATGGATAGTAAAACATTTCGCCAGTAATAGTAATCATAATATGTCTTCATGAAATTTGAATGAATTACGAAAAGAGTAACAGTAATCCTACCGAAGCAATGCATTGCATGGGATAAATGCAAAGAGCAAGGTTCAGCAAAGTATATAATCGCTGTTATTACGTCTGCTTCTGACCGAAGATTCAATAAAATTTTCAGCTGAATCATATGATCGACCGCAACAGTACTTTCTAATAAATAACGCAAGTAATAACCGCTTTGTAGCAATCATTTACGAGCACACAGCACAAAGAGGATCCCACAACTGAATTTCTTTGAGTACGAAAAGTGGATGAAAGAATCAAGGAAGGTTAATAAAATTTGTAACTATGAAACTGGAATATTAATATATTCTGTTAATATATCTGTGTACGATTTAGGTTTAGAACGTGTGGAAGTAGTTTGCCTTCATTATCAAATAACAATCCAAGTAAACGTAAAAAAGTGAATGTCTAACGTTAATTACCTCTTATCTGTGCAGTATTGCTTGGACAGTGACTTGCGTCGTTTGTGTTGTCATTGTGTGTTCTTGATACATTCATGTATATTGATCTTAATTGATTTACTTTTTCCCACAATTGTAGCAAAAACAGAAGTCGGTCGATCGGGTACTGTATCGGGTACCGAAACCAGGTCTTTCGCAGTCGCAAAGATGGTTACCTTGATCTACTGCTTACATTATTTTACTTCGAATTCACTGAATCCGTTAGTTAGTAACATCTATTTTTCTTCAATTGCGGTTCTTGTAGTAAAAATGTAACATGAAAATTGGAATTTGTATAGACATCTGCTATCTAGTAGTAATATAATGTTGGGCATAAAAATTGGAACACAAATTAATAAGGATTAAGCAGTTATTCGTACCTATGGGGACCTCATTCAATATTAAGAATTTAATTAACAATTTAGCAAACAGCAGGATTGCTTTCATTGATTAAAACAACACCTTGTAAAAATCACTGTTTCTGTCATTGAGGAATGCGAATGTAACTCTGAATGAGAATATCTCCAATGCTTATGACAGTCATATATCTCTGCAATGTATGCCGCCAATGCAAATACTTGCTCAAGGCAATAAAATGACTCATGTTTCTGATTTGTAATAGGTAATAGGCAGATTTCCAAGACCACCGTAAAAAAAAAATCCCAACATGAGAATTCCAACGAAAAAGCTTCGTGTGAGCATTTGAATACACTTGCGTACTGAAAGTATTCGAATACTTATCGAACCATGAAACAAATTTAAGAGTAGCAATCAATTAACAGTGATCGACAATCGATTAAAAAGAAAAACATTGAGAATTATACGATAGTATTTCTAAATACCAAGGGAACATTAGGTAATCTTTATACGGTAATAGTTACGGCCCATTGCCTTTTTCACGTCGATATCATTCCTTTACCGTCATGATTTTACCAAGTATGTTTCTCAACAGTTCCTGGTGCGGACGGATAAAGACCGCGCTGTAATACTACTACTCACGAGACTCAGCTTCCTTATTTTTCCGCGTAACTGAACTGGTCCTTACGCGGAAAAACGCGCTGATGGAACATGTCGCGTTAATTCGATAGAAGTTCAGTTGAGCCTCCGATCTCCGAAGTAACATGGGGACATAAGTTTCTCAAAACGACGTTTTCCATGTTGACGACTACGATTAATCGAAAACCACTAAACGGACCCGTTCCAAATTTTTGGATCTTATTTTAAATATAAAAATTTACTCTTTAATCGAAAGGTTTCATTTTTCAATACTTTGTTATTATTTCATGGTTGAAAAATAAGCGTTTTTTTTTTTTTTTTATGAAAATCAGTCACTTAACTTTCATCGTCCGTAATTTTCCCATAAGTAATTACATGGAGTTCAAGATCGAACAGAAAAAACTATACATTCTAGATAGGAAGACTACATATTATATTTCTAACAGGAGAATACATTTGTTACTAGGAGACACTCTGTTCGGATAATAGAACGTTCGGATAGTAAAACTTTCCAATATTAGGGAGTTCAGGTAATGGTTGGTGATCGGATACGGGAGGTTCTACTGTAGTAAACGTTCCGTTGCTGAAATTCTATGTAGTTGCGTGTCTTAAGAACATTATCTCATCGTGAACAAATATGCGAAGGCAACTGACCTGTCGTATATTGTCGTAGACGTCTTTGAGGTCATCTTCCAGAAGTCGGTAAGGGTCGACTTGGTAATCGTGCAACGAGCCTGGTAACTGCGTCTGCATGGAACTCATCATCCTTGTCCTGTAGTCTCGTGTGCTCGTTCTACTCTGCAAGGAAAAAGACAGATTCATCATTAATAGAGGCAGAAACGATATGGGAAGAAAATTATTAGAAGGCACGACTGGAAATAGATTTATAGCTTTGTAGACTCTGAAGTTGATTCGTTCAATTTGTTGCGACAAGAAATAACGTCTGTCACTCTCGTGTTCTATTTACTTGTATTAAAATCATTATTTAACGGAAAAACCTTCGCAATGGATACGTTATTTTAACGATTTTTAGTAAAGTCCAAAATTAACACGTTCAATTCCTTGTGATAAGGGTAAAGGTTGCTAAGTTTAATTTACTTATTTACATTAAATGTAACGGTCTAAGTACATATACTAATCCTATTACGGTCTTCGGGTCTATTTCGACCCAATCACGTTTTCATTTCTTAATTTACGAAATATGTAACGAAAATTGTTACTGATCTGCGTGCTTCCATTTCTTCGTCATTATTTCGAATGAATAGCTGGACTAAGGATTGTAGCAGAGTTAATTGAAAGTCATCTCTCATCCATTTATGCAAATGCATCAGAAAAAAATGTGAACAAAGTCACCCCCTCACGCATGCATCTTCATCACACCGATTATCTAGTTCAATGACGAACAATCTTCTTTTTTGCAGTGAACCAAAATTAAAAAACCAATTCGAACTACAGTAAATCCTCGATGAGTGTTCGAAGGCTCGTCAGCACTAACAAGGAAAGATCCCCAGTGGCAACGCTGACTTTCCAATGATGTTTAGCACAGTGATAGATAAGGCCATCAGTTTATAAAATATTTAATGTTCAGTGCCGAGGACCCTTCGAGGACTCATCGTGGATTTACTGTAGTATGGTTACGTATGCTGAAACGGGGTGTTCTTTCTGATTCGGTTAAATTCCAAATTAAAAACTCTAACATATTAATTCGAAAAATGATCAATTGTAAATGTATTAAACTGTACCTTTCACTCAATTTCTTTCCCTTCAGTTAACAAAAGTGGATCACAAGAGCACCTTCGTTGGGAGGCCGCGGTGTTGCTCGTCTCCGATCTATTCCATTCTTTCCAGGAAAACGTTCGAATCTGCCAGTCGATTTCGTATCGATAAGGCGGGCGTTTCGCACGGAATACGTAACAAGCCGTTTCAGAAAGTGGCGAGCACGGTTATTTACAAAATCCATCATACACCGACAGAGACTGTTTGTGTTTCGTGGGCACGTAATATGGCCTGGCCAGTGTCCGTCCACTGCGTCTTTTCCAAGTTGTGTCGGCGCATCGTACGCTGCCAAGACGGCATTCTTTTCCAACCGGTGGTACACACCGACGCCTACTTTCGTCATCGAGACTCGATTCGGATTCCCGGCGATTTCTTAGCATTCACCGCGGCGAGACACGCTCACTCCGCGCTGCGAGTCACGGTGGTGTGGCCAAGTCGTGTGCGCGCGCGCGCGCAAGTAAGCGAGCGAGCAAGCGAGATCAGAGGATTGGGGCATGTCAGGATGCAGTAAATGGCACTAACGGCCGTTTCACAAGTTCGCCGACTCTTTGCCGGCGGATTAATTGAGGTCACGGCAGGCAAATAATACTGTGTCTTGCCTGGGGACGCGTTAGACGAGCAGCGCGCGTAACTTCGCGCCGCTACACGGAGGAGACTGATAAGTTAATACGAAAGTATTACATATCTATGGGAATATATGGGTATCACGTTCTTCCAATGGGACCTTGATCGATTCTAAAATCTTCGGGGTCCTTGGATTCGTGTAACGTTCGCTGAGACGTTCTATTAGGTTATAATTGGGGGAAGATGCCTAAGGTTTTCATTTGTTTCGTTGCCTTGGAATAAGAGGAGCAGTAGAACCGCACACGATAGTTATCCTCTTTATTATTTTGGGCTTTGTATTTAACCTAATGACCGGGGAAGACAAGTTATACTGTCATTTCTATGTGTTTGCGACGTCCAATAATTGTTCCACGGTTCAAATATAACTTTTAATCATTTTTTGCTTTACTGTTAAATCATCTGGTATCCAATGGTGCATTTCTTTTACAGTTTAATCGTTTTAAGACGAAGTAGGTTACTTGAGAAATGTAGAATGTTTCTTGATCCCACCTTAGAATGTAACTACGGACCTTTCTTGCTACTAGAAATCGTAGAATGTCCAAGAAATTTTATAATATTCTCACGCTTGACTCAGTATCGGTGTTTCCTCATAAATATGGAAAAATATGCGAGAAGAAAAAAAAGAGGAGCAGTTATTTGCTTACCGATTAGTGATCTTGAAGCTCCCAATACAATTCCAATAATTCTTCTTAATGAGAAGTTTACTACCTCGACTCGTAAATAAAAAATTAAATAAATTTCTATACAATTCCAGTCCCTATAAATGAGGCTGGCCTTGAGTAACGGAGTAATATGCAAGAGGTAAAAGTGGGGTAGTGAACTTGCCAGTTGCTACTAAACTAGTTATCGAAGAACGTAATAAGCGGGGTACCGCGTCGTGGAAATCACATGACACGCATGGACACACATCGAACACGGTCATTGCTCAATGTTGCATGTCCTCCTATAAACATACTGACCGTTTCATTTAAGGCTGACCTCACACGCCGCGCGTAACACGCGCGACAACCGGAAACCAGAGATTTCCCCCCCCCCCCCTAGATCTAGTTTTCCATACGGTGCACAGTGTGACGAGTATATTTAGACAGGAAGATGAAAAAAAAACAATCAATTTTTCGTTAAACTAGTTTTCGGACTATGTTAAGTATATTTACAAAATGTATTGTAAAATGAAAACGAGTAAACCTTTCTTCCAAAGGAAAGCAATTTTACGAGTCTTTCCGGGGCAAATACTTGGAAGTTCTTCTGCTTATAAAATAGCCCATATTTTAGTAAGGTATTCGTGTAATTAAGGTAAAAGTGGACCGCCCTCAGGGGTGGTGACACGATTATGAAATCCTTCTGGGACGAGGCGTCACGTGCGTAACGGTTCACTCACACAACTCACCGAAGCTACATGGTAATGAACCCCTTCTCCAACCCCCGCCCTTTCTCTCTGCTGGTCAAACTTTCTTAAATCGTTTCAATAAAACTGTCATTTCCAAATCACTTTCAATGTAAATGGGAAACTTTCATGCAAATCAGGGCCATTTTAGCCATATTCGTCTTCCAAAGCGAGGAATTTCAGATAAATCACGGATGATATTCACAACACGAAATGTCGAATCAATTTGTGTATTCCACACAAGTACTACGTACGTCAAAACATGGACTTCTTCAGTCACGGTACGACAGGAAAGAGTTCCAACTAAAGTCTTTTAATCTTCATTGAAATTCTTATTCGGAGAACATGTATATGTTCTAACGAGTAGTTCACTATGTTTTAACATATTTTCTTTCTTCCTTTTCTCTTTCTGTTTTCTTGTTGTATATATATTTTCTTTATGGTGTAATAAAGATCTTATAATTGATACAATTATTAAACAGAGGGATTTAATAATCTATGCTATCTCAATTACACTCATGAATATTTTCTTCATTAAATATTAATTTCATTTAAAATGTATTATTACCACAAGAAAATAGAGACTTATTGATTATTCGTGTAATATTTTCCTAACCTTCTCAATTTGTATGTTCTTATTGCATTTGCAGAGTCAACCACCAATACGTTGCGGTGGTGTTGTCGCAATTTAAGAATAATATCGAGCCTTACCGGTGTTAATTGTATACCGAACGGACATGATTAAAACTCGTTAATATTCATTGCTGTTTCGGGGAAGGTACGAGACGCTAATTACAATTAGATGCTTCGGGAACGTAATACTTTTAAAGAAACAAAAATCGGGGTAGGGGAGAGTTTTGTTATCGATGACTAGAAGATAACGATCTTTTTTCTGTAACTATAAATTGCATGGAAAAAATTCTAGGTCAACGCTCTTTTCACACCAACGTGGTTATTATCAACTCTTTGGAGTAAATCTACATTATGACTTGCTGACTATTATTTCTTTCAAAATGTCTCTCAAATGCAGACAAGCTAAAAAAAAAAGTCAATTTACTGATCAAATACTTACGTCACTTGCATTCTTTCAAAATCGATTCTCTAAAAAAACCCATATAAAAAATTACATTTTACATTCCCCACCGATTTTAGAACACACGAAGAATCATCTGCTTACGATAGGTATACCTTGAAGGTGACAATTAGCATTTACATAAATAGCACTAAATGCTAAATGATGTATCTTTTACCAAGTTCGTAAACAAAGTATAGTGAACTAGTTTCAGTTTCCTCTATGTATAGATAGTTGTGAAACTTAAAAAAAATATCTTTTAATGATCTCTTTTTAAAACGGACAAGAACTTTTTACGTCGATGATCTAAAGAAATGTATACAATGTATGGCGTAAGATTGCATGCCTCATAGAAGTGCTTCTGTTGCAAGAACCTCCTCAAGTCGCACCTGCGTTCGCTGTTTCAAAGTTACCGTCAGAAGCACGAAATAAAACAAATACAAATCCCTCGAACGCCCTAGCGAATTTAATGAATTTTCATTGACTGCGTTTAGGTACACGTCGATCGCTGTTGTAATGTAATTAAGTTAAATAAATACATCATTTTTTAACTGATATTTGTAAAATTCGTTAAACATTTGTTAACGAATACGTAAGATATTATGTTACGCAAACATAAATGTTCACAATATGACTGAGAAAATAAAGAAAATTTGTGAAACGATGGTTTTTATTAGTCTACCCCTAAGTTCTTCTCACCCAAAGTTATTGTGACATAATAAGAAAAATGATCTGCTGAGAGCAGAAGTAAACTACTATATCACATACATCTCTATTGCTAAAATTATACTCATCTGCTGACAAATTATCGATCATCCGTCGTCACGATCAAATTTCAAAATTCTACTTTCCATCGTAAATAAATGAACGTAACCGCAATCGACACGATCCCCTCAGCAACACTCGCTCGATCGGATTGTCCACGTAGACCGGATTATATAA